GATCATCTCAACATCGAGATATATGAATATGAAAAGAAAAACAGATTTCAAGTTCGAGAAATAGTGTCTTGTAACACATTATCTGGACCGTCCATTTTCAAGATTTTCATGTGTTTATAGATCTACTTGATTCAAACCAAGTTTAGAGTTAAAATTTTATAATAGAGATGAAAATCGATTTTCAAGCTATCCTAAAAATTTTTTATATCAAAATTACATTTATGATAAAAATTTAGAGGTGCGTCTTAATTGGATCGTTTACAGTGCAATATTGTACAAACCACACCCTTGAGTTTATAATACAATATCTAGGATTTGTTGGAAAGAATATAATGCAAGAAGAAATTGAATTAGGCCCCCAGTGTCGATTGTTTTCTATGTAGTGGGTTAACATGACTGATACAATTCAAATCCAGACTAGGGACAAAGAAAGCACAGCCACTGAACTACCCTATTTACTTTGTCACACTGGTGAAAAATAGGGCAGGAAACGAGCCGGCCGAAGCCCGACTCCCTTTATGGCCAGCCCTCTCAAAGCCAGGTCGGGCTACAAAAAAATAAAATTAAATAAAAATTAAATAAAAATGAGGGCCAGGTAGGGCCAGGCCAGGCCAAACCAGCCTGGCTAGGCCCTCGGGCAACATTTTTTGGCCTAGAGCCTAGTTGTTCTTTTCAGGGCCGGGCAAACTGGGCTGGGCATGCTACCCAGCCCATGCCAACCTTGGTGAAAAAAAAACTTTAAAGTGTGAGAGGAGAACAAGAAGAAAAAACAAACCCATGGTGTTGGATATAGTTGGTTTCCTCACTGTCAACATAATACACAACGATGGGTGGTTATTTATTTACTATGAGTTTCCCTTGGGTGCATCATCCTCCTAGCATGACCGGCTCCATTACGTTTGACACCATAACATCGGTTTTGGCCCTTTTCATGGTAACTAACAAAATTGTCACCATTTGTTTAGTTAGAACAAACTTTTTCTCTCTCTCTCTCTCTCTCAAATAAAGGAGAAAGTGCCCTATCTCTCTCTCTACAAAAAAAACGAAAAAAAAAGAAAAAAGGAGAAAGTGTCCTTTTTGACTTCACCAATTTGAGGCAAATGTTGCTTTAAGAGAAAACAGCGCATAGAGCGTGCAAATCAGGAAAGAATCCTCCCAAACTCTCCAGTCAATATACTGAATTTGTAAAGACAAATTGCAGGGTAAGCACGAAGAATTGGAGATAAGAATGAAGCCCAATAAGGAAGGTTGTGTCACTATCATTATTCAGAGGATCACACTGTAAATCCCCTGCCTAACAAGGCATTCTTATGTGATGTAGGATCACATACATTGTGCCTAAGCTAATATAACAGGACTGTCTGTCTCATACACATACACATGTGCGAATGCTAGATCAAAATTTGCGACAGAGAATGGGGAGAGGGTGTGTGAATTGGCTGGAGTTTTTCTTGTTGCTCTCTGTGATTGGAGTGGCCAAAGGCCAAGGAGTAACCTATGATGGCAGGTCTCTCTGGATCAATGGAGAAAGGAAAATCCTCTTCTCCGGCTCCATACATTACCCTCGCAGCACGCCGCAGGTAATTTCGTATACTTGGGAGTATTATGAGAAAATTAAAACTCCGGATTCTACAGCAGTTTTTAAATCCTCGTTTTGATGTTTTCCATTGTTGGGTTTGTGCATATAGATGTGGCCTTCTGTCATTGACATGGCAAAGCAAGGAGGGCTTGATGTGATCCAAACTTATGTCTTTTGGAACATCCATGAACCAATGCAAGGACAGGTGATTCAAGCCTCTCCATTTCAGTTTCTACATTTCAATTTTGACCTTTTCCTCCTACAAACATGTTTCTTATACATGGATATATCCAATGGGGTTTGAGATGGTTTTCTTTCTGTGTGATAATTGTAGTACAATTTTGGAGGAAGATATGATCTTGTGAGCTTCTTGAAGCTGATACAGTCAAAAGGACTCTATGCGAGCCTTCGGATTGGCCCTTTCATTGAGTCCGAATGGAACTATGGGTGCGTAAGAGTTTCTCACCTGTTTCACAATTTAGAAAAAAAGAAGAAGATCAAGAGTAACATTTTCTTTTTTCTTTGTTTATTTTCCTTGTGTTTTGATTTGGAAAGAAAGAATTCATTTGAGATGAGGCACTATGCAGTAGCTTGTCTGTCATTGATCCATGTATAGTGGGATGCATGGTATCATTAGGTTTTGGTTTTTTTTATTTTATTTTTTATTTTTATTTATTTAAATGGGTTCCTGGGAGGGGTATTTTTGGATTTAAGAATTGTTTTTCGATTTTTAATGAAATTATTCCGTGGCTGAGCAGATAGAGTATATTATTGTATGTTTGCAGAGGTTTCCCATTCTGGTTGCACGACATAGCGAACATTTCATTTCGGAACAATAATGAGCCCTTCAAGGTATGATATAACAAATTAAAACGATAGAGATAACAATTTATTATTCATATTCTTCCAAGGGTGAGGCTCTAAAATATCAAAGTAAAGCGTACCTTCAAATAGTATAAAAAAATGTGATTTTAAAATTGAAAATATTTGTGATAGCTTTAAAATATATTTTCATCTTTAATAAAAAAATTTAAAGCTTCAAAAAATAGTGTAGATCGATCAGATCTATGAAAACTTAAAAATCATGAAAATTGACAGTCCAAAATGTCTTACGTGATGCACAATTTTCAAAACTTGAAATCCATTTTTTTTTTAAATGTGCATGCATCTTGATATCAAGATGATCAATTTGTGAATATTTGAGCATCAAAACAACATCTTCTAGTGAAATTTTTGAGGTGGGCTCTAATTTGATTGTTTTGACCCTCGGCTCTATATAAACATTTTCCTTCCTTTCTTGTATGCCACATGTTTATATGAGTTTGACTATATTTGGGATTCGGGATTAGGATCGATTAGTTAGTTCTTGATCATTGTAAAGGAAAAAATAAAAAAATTAAAAGTAAATTGAATTTTCTTTTATTTTCTGTGTGGGAGAGGGCAAGTAGACGTCCCCCGCTTCAATTATGACAATGAGGAGAATGAGGGTAGGTCCAAGACAAAAGAGGGTTCTTTTACATAAGGACTAAGTAAAATTATTGAAGTTACTTTTTTGGTTTATAAGTTTTGTAATTTTACCACGAGGTCCCAATCTTCCGATTTTTTATTATCTTCAATGTTTTCAACATCCAACTGTTTATTATTAATATTTTTTGTTTTGACTTCATGGAGTAATCATCATGGACTTGATAGCACTACCTGATTCCATCATGGACTCGATAGTACTACCACCAAAACTCATATCCATTCTCGAAAAGATATGAAAAACTTGGCGTGAGAAAAGTTCGAACTCTCCACCTCTCGATAATTCGCAAAGCTATGAGACCCGTGAACCAGCCAACTGCGCCGCCACCCCACAAGAATTAAGTTATATATCATAATAGGGGTTGTTATTGATATGCCAATCATTGTTTTAACGTAACATCAGTTTTTGTAGTTTGCGTCTCATAGTTATCATTAGCGAATTGTACAGGCCAATTTGACCAGTCAACTAGTTTGCGTCTCATAGTTATCATTAGCGAATTGTACAGGCCAATTTGACCAGTCAACCTTCAATTGATGCTTTCACCAGTATGCTCCAAAGAAAACATAGCAAAGCGCATGTTCGGTTGAAAACTATGTTGGACTAGTTTTGCCCCTTTGTATTATCTATCTTTTACCCATTTAAATGAGCTAAATAGAGTTGAGCAATTTTGTTTTATAATATATGATATATTTTTAGGCTATTATTAGTACTTTTCAATTTTTTTAAATCTAATCCAACTAATTTAATCGTGGTTGTGTCAATTTTGATCGGACTGGACCCTCATAAGTTTAGTGGCTATTCTGAAACTTCTAATATGCCAGTAGTATGAAAAAGCTTGTTTGCTCGTCACGCTAAAGTTGTTTCTTGTTTTGGTGATGCAGTTTTACATGCAAAACTTCACTACCAAGATAGTGAACTTGATGAAACAGAATGGGCTCTATGCATCACAAGGAGGCCCAATTATTCTCTCCCAAGTACCTCCCTCCAAAGCTTGTATCATCAAAGTTCATTTGTTTCCTACTCCATGCAGCCGTCCAATTTAGATCAAGCGAGTCACTGATTGTTTGATCTAGATCCGACTTAGAGTATTTTATTTTTAATTAATTTTTTACAAGTTATATGAATATGAAATTTGGTATGTACCATCATCTCAATGGGGTGCACCTAAAACAAATATAAAAAAAATATTTTTGATAAATTACAATGATCAAAATACCCCTACAAATTTTAGGAGTATTTTGGTCATTTTATCTTATTGAGAATATTGTTTCTATATTTATTTTAAGACAGCACATTTAAGAGAAGAGTGAACGTCCAAAATTTTATGTCAAAAAATATTGTAGAAAAAATAAAACCTAAAATAGTATAGAGGCGTTTTGCATAGGGGAAGTATATAAATTTTATAAAATAGGTGAAGCATAGAAAGCTTGCCATATAGGCATAACCAACAAAGATATTGCTCCTACTTTTCACAAGCAAATTCAGTTTTCACAAAGAAAATTTATTTGCTTCAATCTTATTTAAACATAGACATGGATAGAGTAGCCTACCAGGTAGAAATTTGAAATAGATTGAAATGGTTGCAGATTGAAAATGAATATAAGAATGTGGAAGGGGCATATCATGAGCAAGGCCCTCTATACGTTAACTGGGCCGCAAGCATGGCAGTGGGCCTCAACACGGGTGTTCCATGGATGATGTGCAAACAAGATGATGCTCCTGACCCCGTGGTACAAAAACTTAACTTCTCTCTCTCTAAAAATTTAACATCTCTCTCTCTCATCTTGATCTTAATATGGAGCATAATCTTTACTGCTTTTCTCTAGCATGATTAATGCATGTGTCATTTTCTCTCCCTAAAGAGGCAAAGCGTTATTCCGTGCATGAATTAAGGAAAATTAACGTAAGGTTTTGGAAATTAATATGGAATTACTACATGGTCTTTATTTTCTTTAATTTTACAATTAGGTCAATCTTTTTGTATTTCTTTATATCAGTTTTGCTCCAATGTTAGCAATATCAAAGTGCTTGCTTGTTTTTCTTGGTGACCTTTAGGCAATGCAATACCCTAGAAACCGAAACGGCTTATAACTTTGGGCTTGACCCAAGCATGGAGCAGTTTAATGTTTATGACGTCGAACCACCTTTTGTGTCAGGATTCTTTTGAAGTATGCAGTGGTTGGATATCAAGAACATCAAACTACTTGATTGATACGGAGGACATTTCAATGTTGGCGATATCTGCCCTAGATATTGGCATTTTTTTTTTTTTCGGGGTATTGTTAAACCCTAGAGGTCATAAAAAACATAATTTATTTTTTTTTATTTTTTTTAAAGTTGTTCAATGTTGCCAATATTAAATCTTGGTAAAACGAGAATGAAAGAAGACTACCAAAAAAATAGAACCCAAGTATAAAATTTGAAAAATTGTAGACTATGGAGTATTTTTACATTTTTTTTTGGTCCTTACATATTTACCTAAAGTTAAAGCACCTCATTTATTCAAGGAAAACGTTTATATAAGGATGATACCTTATAATGTAGAACCACGGATGCCCCTCAAAAATCCATCGAAAAAGGTAGTTTTAATGTTGAAAAACCCTTTGATTGATCGTCTCGACATCGAGATGTATGACTATGAAAAATAAAAAGATTTTAAGTCTCAGAAATAGTGCATTTTACAATATATTAGAACCTACATCAAAAATTTCACTAGAAGAGCTTGGTTTGATGCCCAAGTATCCTTAAATTGATCATCTTGAGATCATGATACATGGACTTAAGAAAAAATGGATTTCAATTTTGGGAAATAGTGTATCTTGTAAAGCATTCTTGGACTGTCAATTTTTAAGTTATTCAAGTTTCATAGATCTGCTCGATCTACTCTATTTTAAAGCTTTAAGTTTTATAATTAAAGATGAAAATATATTTTAAGGCTAGTCAAAGATTTCCCATATTGAAAGTACATTTATCGACACTATTTGAAGGTGAGCTTTATTTTGATTATTTATAGCCTCAAGCCTATGCAAACGGCACCTTTTTTCTTTTTTATTTTTTTTAACTATACTGGTATACTGTCTCGAGTACCATACTACGATTGAAATTCAAAAATAATTGAGTCAACCCGATATCTCTAATGATAGGCCCAAGTGATAAGGGTTACTAAAAGCATTAGCCCTATCCTTGTTTACTTGCTCTATACTTCAATAACAATGCTTTCCTTTATTAGGGAATAATAAAGCACCAATGAGTATGTTGTCACAAGTGTCATTGTCGTCAATGGTAAATTGGTCCAATTTAATATTAGAGATATCTGATTGGTCTATTTACTTTTTTTATTTATTTTTATCTTTTAACTTCATAAGCATTCCAATATTGAAAGCATCTAACCAGTATAGTTCCAAACAAAAGAAGATAAATCATTGCTAAGTATGGGACGGTCCAGTCCCATATTTCTAAAATTGGAGCGCCAGAGAAATGGGTAGTTTAATGTCTGAGGCATTGAACTACCCCGCACACCACAAAAAATGAAAAAAAATGAAAAGAAGGTGGTCCAAATTTGCAAATGAGTACAGGGGGGAAATTAGAATAAAAAATCTAAAATAGGGATGTCGACACAAATTTTCCAAAAGTTTGAACGAAATCATAATATTGATTAAAAACCGGTCCATACGTAATTTTTCCTTGTTGGCATAATTAGGAAAATTGTAGTAGGAGATCGTAAAGGATGAATAATTGCTCAAACATTTCCAAACTTCTTCTATCTTACGTAACTTACTGATATCTATTTGTTTACGTATCTAACCATGATCAGTAGAGTTTATGAGTAGAATTTTGTTTTTAAAGGAATGATTTCTATTGCCAGATAAATGCATGCAATGGAATGAATTGTGGAGAAACATTTGCCGGCCCCAATTCACCCAATAAACCTTCCTTGTGGACTGAGAACTGGACATCGCAGTGAGTCTTCTCTCAATATCTTTACTATCTAATGCTTGCCATAAATAAGGTCTAAAATAATCATGGGAAATTTACAAAAACCCCATGACTCAACTTTCTCTGCATTCTCCCCCCACCCACATTTTTTTATTCCAACTTTCACCCCAAAACTAACTTTTATAGCCAAGACCCCCAAGTTTAAAAGTCATAGTTTGGAGGATGAAAATTCCCTTGTCTCTAAATGAAGTTGTCAAATTCTTGTAACGCTCGCAAACTATAGATGGTCCAACACTTTATAGTGGTAGTCCAACACTTTTTGAACTAACAGTTCGGCACATAGACCAAGCGATCGGGCATTACCTAATTGCATTTCGGCACATAGACCAAGCGGTCTGGCATTACTTAAATGCATTTTGGCACATAGACAAAGCGGTCCGGCAGTAGTGGCTCTTGGTCCAACACATAGACCAAGCGGTCCAGTAGTAGTAGCCGTCAGTAGGGCAAGGGTATATTTGTCCTCAAACTACAACTTTTTGACTTGGGAGTATATGTTATAAAAGTTGGTTTTGGGGTAAAAATTATAATAAAAAAGTGGGTGGGGGAAATGCAAAGAAAGTTAAGTCATGGGGTTCTTTTGTAGTTTTCACAATAATCATTATGTTTATACCCAACTGACTATTTTTTTTTCAATAAATTCCTCTAAGATCTAAGTTTTAACTATTGGAATTATTGGCTCTTAGGCGGGTCACTGAGCAGTGGAAATGAAACAAACAAACAATAATAAATATGTGGCTTTTGGAATGCTACTACACATGGTCCCCCTTCTCTCCTTCTCTAATCGATATGTAGAGTTTTCTACCAACCTTAAATAGTTTGAATAAGGTTCAGACATGATTTAAATTACCTACATCCTAAATATTTGATTTGATTAGGAGTTCAAAACTTTTATCACCCCTCAGAATTAGGTTTTTCTCTGTAACGCTTTCCTAATTGGCAAAACCTAACTCCGAATGAAGATCCATCATCGCAAGGGCATATTCATCCCCACAAAACCAACATACCTTGTACCTATCATCCTATTTCTGGGATTCTCTTAATAACATCCCATACATGGTGATATTTAATGTTAAACTCTATTTACATGGAACTTGGTGTATTACTGTATCCATCACACAATTGAGTTTTCAAGGTTCAAGAAAGTCCCAAGAACCTAAAATAACAAGTTTGCACAACCGTATTAGTAATCAGTATGAAATTTGACTTCCTAATCTTCATCATCAAGTCAATGTTGTATTCTAAATGTAATGTTCTCATGCTATGGTGCTACCAAAATTAATCACCGCCACAGTGACCATTACGACTATAATCACTAAACATAAGAACCCTTCATTTGTAATTTAAAATACCATCTGCATGGGAAGATGGCATAAACTAGATGTTGTTCAGGCCATTTTAGGTTCGTGGGAGCACAATGTCCGGTTGAGTTTTGTCTCTTTGAGATACCTCAAAATGATCACATTATACGATTCAAATGATGCCTAGATGCAAACTTCGGCCCATATTGGGGCTCGCCCACAATATTTTCCATTAGGTGTCGGCGGCTCTGCTGCAACAATAGCAGGTCCTTGAGGCATTGATTACAAGGCCATCAAGCTACTTGAGGAGGCACAATGACCTTATGATGAGGCCAGGGCAGATGTCTTAAAGCCCATATGCAGTCAGCGACATGGGCTTGGGGTTGGCCTCGGCAGCCACCTCATTAATCCAATTTGTAGGACCATGTACGTTCAGCCTCTTCCCCCTAATTCCCAAACACAATTGTGTGTAAGAGGCTTTTGACCAAGAATCGAAGAGGGCCGAATGGACTAAGCCAGCTAGTGCACAGTTATGGGCTCCACTAAGCAGGACACATTGAGTCACAATCCAGAGCCTCCAAGGCAAGACTAGTATGGCCCCTATCTAAACTTGGGCTCTCCATTTGTGGAAAAACCTGAAAACGAAGTAAGAAATCATAATGATTTTGTAGCTGAGCCATAGAGACAATCAAATCCAAAAGATTAATCTTTAGGTCTCCTAGAGGAAGCATTCATGAGGGGTTCAAAATCGATTTCTTCATGCCAGAGAGGCAAACCTTTATAAGAGGATTTGATTCGAATGTTGGTTCGCTAGGTGAGTCACTACAGAGAAAAAATAACCCAAGAAACAAATGGCAGTTACAAGGGTCGAATTGAGATGACCACTAACATCTTGAAATGAATCACTTGTTTGTATGGTATTCATCGTATATCTCATGCATGTAGTTCTTTTCGCCTGGTGTAAATAGCAAAATCTGCATCATGAATCCAATCTGTTAATTACAACAACAAAAATAAGAATACAATCTTCAGGTCTGTATGGAGTAGACTCAAGATACTTCAACTTACATATTTAGCTTTCTCTAGGAGAGAGATAGGTTCATTGGCTTTTCTATAGGGAGTGAGGAAGTTTGCGAATTAGAGTTAGAGGCATGGACATGTGGGATTTTGGATGTGCCTTCTTCTCTCTTCCCATATGATTATGATTAATGTTTAGTTTTTCTATTGTTTTCAAAACTTACATTGTGTCTCTCTGGTTTGGGTTGGATTTGATGCAAATTATTATCATCCTTATTCTATATTAGAAGTTTTCATGTTATTTCCAAGAAGTTTTAAAAAAATATTGGCAAAGGTACATCCTTTACTGCCTAATTCCTACATTGGATAACTCTTGCAAAATAATGTCTATCCCTATAAATCAGGGAAAAGAATTTGTCTGCAAAATAATGTCTATCCCTATAAATTAGGGAAAAGAATTTGTCTGCAAAATAATGTCTATCCCTATAAATCAGGGAAAAGAATGTCTTTTATTGTTAGGTCTTCAATACATTCTAGACCCCAACACATGTTTATTGCAAAATACAAATGGATGCCAAACCTCTGAAAAAATTTCTGTAGAAATGACACAATAGCTCCTTTCAACATCCTTTATCATAGTGTTTGATCTTATGCCATTTAAATTTCTCTTGATCCTCTATTGAAGTAAGATTTGTATTTTATGATAGGTGTTTAAAGTTTTATTTTCAATCATGCTTTATCTATGTTTCTATTTATGTTTGTTTCATTTGTACCGCTTAATATAACAAAACTTCTAGTGTGAAACTAAGACGAGCGTAATTTTCTTGAAGATACCAAGTGTATGGTGGGAAGCCATATTTTAGATCAGCCGAAGACATTGCCTTTGCAGTTGCACAATTCATTGCAAAGAACGGAAGCTTTGTAAATTACTATATGGTAGAACTGATTGTCAACCCAAGTTTTTAAATTCTTATGTGTAGGTTTTTTATCATTGTAATTGATAGCGAGTGTACCATTCATGGCTATAGTATCATGGAGGAACAAATTTTGGAAGAACGAGCTCTGCGTATGTGACAACAAGTTACTATGATCAGGCCCCTCTGGATGAGTATGGTTAGTATTAGCTTTTATTTATCCTAACTCACATATTTCCACAACTTCACCAACTTCCACAGCTTATTTAGTTTCAATTTTTGTCGTACATTGTTTCAGCTATTGTCTGTGTTCAGGTATGATAAGGCAACCTAAATGGGGACATCTTAAAGAATTGCATGCTGCAATAAAGAATTTTAGTGAACCATTACTATCAGGAAAAATCACAAACTTTTCCTTGGGCCAATTACAGGAGGTGAGAACCTTAAGTGTTGTTTACATATGGTGGCAACCTTACTTGTAGAGGTAAGGTTGCATTCTTCTACAATGTCACTTTAGTTGATAGCGTAGATCTGATACATCTTTTAAAATAATGTCAAGATTTGTCATATCTTTTAAGGCAATATCAAATCTACATCTTCCAACTAAAATAGAAGGTGTAGATTATTACAACCTTACTTCTACTATAACTTTGCTATCCTAAGTAAAGTTTTTCTTGATAATCTCTGTAAGTGGCTGAGTTTAGTATATGTTGGTGTAGGCCCGCATATTTGAAGGAAACTCTGGAGAATGTGTAGCCTTTCTTATTAACAGTGACCGGAATAAGAATGCAAATGTCAATTTTCGTAATTTGAGATATGACTTGAATCGACGTTCCATCAGTATCCTAGGTGATTGTGTCAATGTGGTATTTGATACCTCCAGGGTATGTGAACTCATTTTAGTTGGTTTGGCTACTTGTTGCTACATAGTTGGCATGACATTAACATTAATATTAGACAATATATTAGCTGGAAATATCTACTCTAATATTTCCTCATGGTTTTCTCTATGTGGTTGCCATAACAGGTTAATGTGGTACCAAATGTAAGATCTTATTCAACATCACAAAAAGTAGAGAAGTGGGAAGCCTATAGTGATCCAGTTTTGAGTTTCAGTAGTAATGCATCCATAGTATCAAACAACTTGTTGGAGCACATGACTACCACCAAAGATGAATCAGATTACTTGTGGTATACAACTAGGTAGATAATATTACTGGTATTTTGTAATGGAATTCTTCTCGCTTTTCACTTCAATATATATATTTTTTAAAGAAGCATTTGTACCTAAATAGCCTTGGAAATATATACAGCTATGACCATTCCTTTAACATGGATGCTCAGCCCAAACTTCATGTAAGTTCTCGTGGCCATGTGGTGCATGTTTTCGTGAACAACGTATATGTGGGTACGTAAGTAAATATTAATCAGTATTTAAATTTTTTTTTAGTAAGTAATTTATTTTTTATCTTAGATGGCCAAAACTTGTATTTTTCACATAATGATATTTCAGGAAGTGCACATGGAAGTGCTCAAAATCATGGGCTTGTATTTGAGAAAGCTATCTCTCTGAAAGCAGGGAAGAACAATATTTCCTTGTTAAGTGCGACAGTCGGATTTCCAGTAGGTTCTCATGGCCTTGGTTATAAAATCAAGTTTGTTCTTGTACTTATCAATCATTTTATAATACAATTATTTGCTCTATATGCATAATCTAACAAGATGGTGCAAATGAAATGTTTAACCAGAGAATATGTTGCTTTCTATATTGAAGAAACCTCAATTCTTGAGAACTTTATAATGAGGCAGTGTCTCGAACGACCTGGATGTTTGGTTTTATTTTTGAGACAAACTTTGAAAAATATCCCACAAAACTGGAAAAAGTAAAAGTAGTACAAAAAATAAGAATGTGAACAAAAAAACTCAAGTTAAGGACAATAATTGATTTGTATGTTGTTTATTATTTAATAATATATTAACTTGTATTCACTTATATTTTTTTACAACCTATACATTTTCGTAAATTTAATAAATATTTCTAATCGTATCAAATTTCATTTTTACTTCAATATGTAACTCCACCTATCTTGAAAACACTATCATTTCATTTCAGAAAAACTCATCTCAAAAGAAGAATCACATAAAAGTTGTGGGTTGGCTTAAAAGAAGTTCTAGATATTTAGCGATTCTTACAATAACCATTTGTTTTGAAGGATGGTGGTGCATTTATGGAGCGAAGAGTAGCAGGGATTAACAGTGTCAACATCCAAGAAAATAGTAATCGCAAACTTGACCTCTCCAGTCGCGAAATTGACCTCTCTTTTTACCAATGGGCTTATCAGGTCCATATTAGACATCTTATTTCAATCCAATTCCTCTTTGGACTAATTTTAATCTTTCAATATACTAAAGTCTTCTTATGTAAAGTTTCTTTCAATCTCTCTTCCATTAGATGGTGAACTTCTAGATAGGAGTATATAAACAAATGCATCAATTCTTTTATGTAGGACATAATAGACATTATAACAACCAATCCCATCATCAACATTTTTTGTTCTATTTTAGGATAGCATTTATTTCCCATCAACACTAGGGTGAATTTTATAATTGATGCAGGTTGGCATGTTAGGAGAGAAGTTAGAAATTTACACCCCTCAAGGAGCACAGAAAGTTGAATGGACAAATGCCACTAGTTCCACTCATCAACCCCTCACATGGTACAAGGTATTCCACTTATTTTTCGAGGCTAAATAAGGGTTCTTCATATATGGCAAAAGAAAATATACTCTTATCTCATAGGCAATTAATGGCTTACTAGTTGGCATGTTTACATGCACAAGAAATGAATATAAGAAACATTTGGGTTCCATGTCATTTACTTTTGGGAGAGTTGTTAATATCTCGTTACCTGACGAATTTTTGTTTATTCCACAACTGCATCAGTCATATATAGATGCACCTGGGGGAAGCGATCCAGTTGCGATAGATCTTAACAGCATGGGGAAAGGGCAAGCTTGGATCAATGGGGAAAGCATCGGACGGTTTTGGCCATCGTTTCTTACTCCCACAGGAGAGTCCTCACAAACAATGTATGTATATGAAGAAACGTATTAAATGATCCCCCTCTTTCCTCTCTTTCTCTCTCACTCTCTCTAACAAACTTACATGCCACACACACACAAACTTGCACATGAATAGTTGTATACACACACATCTGCAATCATACACAAACAAATGCACGCCAACAATATGAAGTACTTATTTCATGTCTCTCTTTCTGATGTAGGTACCATATTCCGCGATCATTCTTGAAACCTTTTGGGAACCTTGTGATACTATTCGAGGAAATGGGAGGTGATCCTGCTCATGTATCTCTCGTAAACGTCACAGTTAAAAGTGCTCAAGTGGCATAGAGAGGGTACCCATTACATATTTCTTTTATCTCTGTTATCATTTAGTCTTGAGTGCAGTCAATTTTTCTGTTGGTATGCTTTGAAGTTCATGTTCCCTAGTAACTTTTTGGTTTGATTAATCAGGAATGTATGGGTAAAAGGAGTTGCTCCATTACAATATCACCAAAGCATGTTGGAGGTGAGCCGTGCCCCAGAATCTCAAAGGGGTTGAAGTGAGATGTAGTTGATAGTGAAGGGAATGAAAGATTAATAAATCAACATATAGAATGATGTTCATTTTTTATAACAATAGTGGAAGGCTTACTTTTTTTATACCAATAGTGGAAGGTTCTTGCTATATATGTGGATGGAGTTCATTTTATAATGTTTTATAATTTTGAATGATACTAGGGACTTCTAGATACTCATAAAAAAAACTACTTGAACATTCGGTCAATGGTATGGCATCAATTCATTGAAATCACCTTCCACTCTTTCCAGTTTCCAAAAAGAAATTTGAAGTTCCTTTGCTCATAGTATTTGAAGTTATATAAAAACAAATTCCTTATTCCATGAAATGCAAGGGGTTTAGAGAAAAACTTGTATTTTAAAAGAATACCTCATAACGAAAGACTGAAAAAATCAATAGAAGCAATCAAAATGTGATGCAAGTTAAATGTCAGATGTTATTATTTCTTTACTAGAATCCTGTGCATATTGACCAAATTTTTCAATGACAAAAGCAGAGTCACCAAAATTGTTCAATACTTCACAAAAGGGTGCAAAAGTTTGTAAGGTCCTTTTTTCTATATTCCACATTTAGGAAAATTATGGCCATTATTGATAAAAGCTATAAAGCCTCCAAGATTTCCTAAACTTGATGGTTTTGATCCTTATCCCCAAGCATCAGGTGGTATTTTTCATAGTCAGTAGGCAGTTGACTCGGTTTCAATAGAGAGAAGTACAATTAGCATCAAGGTATTGGTTTGACAACTCCTTAGTCCAGGCCTTACCTCCAACTCAATTGCTTTGGACATATAAATCTTAATCTATAGGGAATGTCAACCAAATAGCCAAAGTACAAGTAGAGTACCAAAACTTTTTCTTAGAGGACACATACAACATTGCTGAGATTACGAAAACTCTCCACGGTTTAGTCAGACATATCATGGGCTATATCCTTGGTTGGAATTATGGATAAAAAGGCCATGTTTCTCCCTCATGATTATAGCATGCCTAAATTAACACGATGGTGTTGTAAGCACATATTTTCAGAGACACATTTTGTAATCACACTTATAACTCGAAGGAATATGTTGGTGAAGTCGGTAATCTTCAAACTCATGTTCTATAGTCACTGGCTTTCATGACTACTACTTTGATCGTGCTTTCATGACTACTACTTTGATCCTAAGGAACATTCGATGAGTTTGGTACAAATTTGAACAAAAAAAGAGACGACACAAGAACTATGATAACTTGATCATAACTAAAAAGAGGAAGCTTATATCTCAAGCTTCTAACAATTTTATGATAAAATAAAGAACTCAATACTCAGACAAATCACTATAATACTTACCAAAGTATTGTTACTAAACAAAAAATAGCCGGGTGCAAATCCACTGTCCCTCTCTCTCTCACCTTCATCCTCCCTCTCTCTCTCCCTCTCCCTCCCCTCCCTCTC